AAATTCCTACACGACGGTAATAATGTGATTAAGGTGTTTACATGTCTATACTGCACTTCAGTAATGCGACTAAAATAGGAATACTCCACATGTCTCAATTCGATTTCTGTTTACTTCGAATATGACTTTAGTCAGATTAAGGTGATCAAAAATCTGTTTACATGGTAGATTCTTAATCAGAGTATTGTCTTAATCGTGTTAAAATCGGATTATTGTTGTCCATGTAAACATACTCAGTGTTGGTTGAATACCTAAAGACCTTTATGTACATGTGTGTGTTGTTTATGCAGTCCTTACCTTTGGCAAGGGCTTCTGGAAAACCTGCATGGCTAGTACAATAGGAGCGGCTGTGGTCCAGTTATAATACCTTTGTGGAGAGAACAAAATGTGTGAAACAACTGAGAATGTAATAAACTACTTAATTGTAAGTCTAAGAGTATTTTGACAATATTTTGATGAAAGACATTATATATGTTTTTATGTGGCAAAAGGATTTATGACATACTTAGTGCCAATCTTTACGACCAGGTTGGGATCATCAATGATAGATGGATTATCTGCAAACTCCTGATAAGATATTGCTCGTTCCTCGAATTCCTCTGTGAATGAAAGATTTAATGGCTTAATTACTTCCCCAGCTAATGAAATCTAGAAAAAACAGGATATTAATACAGAGCCTACAGAATAACAGAACAGCCACTGAAAATACATTGTTTTACACTACCATTGAAAGGTTTGGGGTCAGTAAGGTTTAATGTATACTTGGTAAAAAGTAATTCACCAAGTTCAAAGGTGAAAAATGTAGCCTTGGTGAGCTTAAGAGACCTCTTTTGAAAACATAAAAAACATATTACCTTCCCCAAACTTTTTAATAGTAGTTTAAAGGTACATCATAACTTGTCCTTTTACCTCTAGTGATCTCTCTGTTTTCTGACAGTCCTCCACAGAGAGAGATGGCAATATGAGGCAAGTCTCCTAACTGGTCAGAAAAGCTGTCCACCCCACTGTCCATTCCACTGCTGCCCACTGATTGAGGGGACTGATTGGCACTTCTTGGATCTGCCTCACCCCTCACAGAAGTTGCTCCATCACTGAGCAACAAAAAATAAATTTGACAATTAAAAATCATTTTAAAATACTTACATTACATCTGGATCATAAATGAACAAGTGAAAATGTACCTCTTTGGAAAGTACAAGGCTGCCACCTCAGGCTCCAACTCTGTGATGTCATCCAGATATACACCATCTGATCCCAGGTGCCGGCTCCTTTTGTCTAGGAATTGATGTAGTGTGGCATTAGATGTTTTAAAAGGTAGCCAAATACGTTTTGATTTGTAACTTTATCATAAACAGTTACATACCTTTTTTCTTGGACGGAGAGTCTGTCTTGCTAATGGCATGAGCTCCAGGACTGTGCCGCCCCTCTTCTAGGTCTGTGATGAGATGTGCTGCAGCACTGATGGCCTCCACATCTACAGCAGCGGCAGATGCTGCCTCTTCAACCCTGAGATCAGGCACATACACATCACTGCCCTGAGACTCCACCATCCCATCTCCAGAGATGGCTCTGAAGTGTCTGCTTTCAGATGGTGGGATTGACCTTGGAGTCACCACCATAGGCTCCGAAATGGGCTGCAGGAATGACGGCTGTGGAAAAAGAAAAAGAATGACGTAGAGTTAGCTGCTTCACATTTGTTAATGTGGCATGTCTAGTGATTATTGTACCTTTGCAGCATGAGGCAGCTCTCCCCACGTCCAAAGCATCTCAGGGTTGTCCGGTTTCCCTTCTCTCCTCTGACTGGTCAGCAATTCGGAGTCACTCTTGGGTGTGGATGGCAAGGAGCCATTTGGGCTGCTGTAAGGAGGAATGAGAGACATTTGGATTAACTGTAGATTTGTATTTATACAGCTGTTGTGAAATGTGAAATATGATGGGAACAATGCCTTCAACTTTTAATTACTTGTACTGTGCAACACTGAATTCCATGCTAGACAAACAGGAACAATCTTTAAATTGGACAATACACTAGAGAAATGTAAGGCTTTTAAAGCTTAAGTTACAGTTTATGACTTTGTTTAAAGTTTAATTACATTGTATAGCGATTGCGGCGGTTACCTGTGTGTGGACTGAAACATGGCTGTTTGTTGAGGGCAGGAAATGGATAATCCTGAACTGGTGGGAATGGGTAAAGAGCAGGTCTTCCCCAACCCTTTGCTGGGGGTCAGAAAACAAAGCTTTATTTTCAAATGTCCATTATTTTGAATTTCATGTATAAAATAAATAATATACTGTATAAGCATAATAATAAATAAGTCTGACATACACATTTTTGGATTTCACAGGGTTTTTTTTTTTTTCACTTCACAGGCATCTCTTATTGTTTTTTCGTGGAATCACTGGCACAGCAGTGTTTCATATAAATTATTAAAATTCAACTGACTGGCACAAATACAGTCCTGAATTGATGTCCTTTTCTTTGAAATGCACACAATAACTTTAAGGCCTGTTTTACTTTCTAAAATCACCTAAATGACTGGCAGGAGTCTCCAGGTAAGAGGCTGTTTTTATGTTGTATACTAGTTGTGGTACATTGTTGTGTCTTTTGATATGTATTATATATGGTATGTTCATTCTCTTTACTTCAACTTTGTGACTTTGTATCTTGCAATTGTGACTTTGTTTTTCATAATTGTGATGTGGCTGGAACCAGGGAGTCTTAAGTGGCATACCTTTGAACACCAGTCCAGTTCCCTTCAGACTGTGTGTATGTGCTGCTAGTTCCTTTCACCTGCTCAGCAAATAGCACATGTGACATGGCTCTGAAAACACATACAGTATAGGCAAACATGTAAGTAAGTATATATACCTGCAAAAGGTAAGAGTAAGACATTGCATACATTTAAAGTACATTTATATTCCATGCCTATAGATATAGCCAAGGATAATCTGCAGTGCTTGTCTTCAACAGGCTCATTCTTCCAGGAAGACAGAGAGCATTGTGGGGTTTCTAAAGAGCTGGATTCAAACTGCTGCTTTGCCGAGCAACACATTCTTGAGTTTAGATTCATTCCCAGCTGACTCTTTTTGGCCTTGTGAACAGTGTTTTCCCAGTGGCCTTTACCGTCACTTTTTAAATTCATTACTGGAACCTGGGAAGCAGGTTCTTGGTAATGCAAAGCATGTAGTGCACTAAAAGATTGACCTTTTAACTTGCTTATCCAGATTGAACAGATAAAATACATAAATTGTCGTCCACTGGGAGTGAAAGAAGGAAAAAGGATGTTTATGTTGTTAAACTGGTTTATATTGCAAATCATTTCTTTTCTTAGATATGTGGGGGTAATGCTAGATTGCCCAACATGACAAAGGACTCCCCTCGAGCTGGAGCCAGAATTGGCATGGTTTCATGAATTTCGTGGAAAAACATTGGAGGGGCTGTTTGAGCCACTTGTTTACTTCAGCAATAGGACTGGCGACCTCTTTTTCTCTACTTAGCCTCTCTCTCTCCATTGCATATACATTTAAAGTACATTTATATTCCATGCCTATAGATATAGCCAAGGATAATCTGCAGTGCTTGTCTTCAACAGGCTCATTCTTCCAGGAAGACAGAGAGCATTGTGGGGTTTCTAAAGAGCTGGATTCAAACTGCTGCTTTGCCGAGCAACACATTCTTGAGTTTAGATTCATTCCCAGCTGACTCTTTTTGGCCTTGTGAACAGTGTTTTCCCAGTGGCCTTTACCGTCACTTTTTAAATTCATTACTGGAACCTGGGAAGCAGGTTCTTGGTAATGCAAAGCATGTAGTGCACTAAAAGATTGACCTTTAAACTTTCTTATCCAGATTGAACAGATAAAATACATAACTTGTAGTCCACTGGGAGTGAAAGAAGGGAAAAAGATGTTTGTGTGTTTCATTTCTTTTCTTAGATATGTGGGGGAAATGCTAGATTGCCCAGCATTACAAAGGACTCCCCTCGAGCTGGAGCCAGAACTGGCATGGTTTCATGAATTTCGTGGAAAAACATTGGAGGGGCTGTTTGAGCTGCTTGTTTACTTCAGCAATAGGACTGGCGACCTCTTTTTCTCTACTTAGCCTCTCTCTCTCCATTGCAGAGCTTATTCGAAGAGTGAACAAACAGACACAGCCCACATCACAAGACCACTGCAACTGGATTCATTCCATCAAACAAATGATGCCACTGCAATCACATAATTTGCAGCGTTTTCAAATGGGTTAAGAGAAGGAGGATCTCTCTGCATTATCAGAACCATCTATTCTGTCCTAAATGTTGCATGCTCTATGCTATATACAGGAAATAAATTAAGCTCCACAGCTCCTGCGATGCTGAACTCATAGAAAAGTGGGATTTAGATTCAGTGTGAGATCTTGGTAAGGCCACTATCCCCATTTACCCACATACAATGAAAGTGAATAGTGACCAGGGGCTGACATGCTTCAAAAAACACCATCCATCTCAGCTCTCAAAACTCATTTAAGTTCACATACAGTCAACAGGTTTTATGTCAATTATATGTCAATTATATTACATGTCTCAAAACCAATTGCGATGTGCTAAATTTGAATATGCAAAGCCATATGATCTACTTCGGTAACACTTTACAATTAGGTTCCATTAGTTAATTTTAGTTAATGTATTAACTAACATGAACAAACAATGAACAATACATTTATTACAGTATTTAATAATCTTTGTTAATGTTAATGAAAATACAGTTGTTCATTGTTCGGTCATGTTAATTCACAGTGCATTAACTAATGTTAACAAGCACAACTTTTGATTTTAATAATGCATTAGTAAATGTTACATGCATGTTACATGCATTAACATTAACATTATATTTATTTATTTATTTCATTTTTGATGTTTGATGTTTTCCTGGTATGGAAAAGAGTGGCATGGACATTGTTCAAAATTTCTTCTTTTGTGTTCCATGGAAGAAAAAAAAACTCATACAGGTTTAGAATGACACGAAAGTCATGTGTAATATTATTTATCGGATTAAAAACTTTCTCCATATCTACTGTTTGTTCTGACCTGCTTCCTGTAGCCTCTGTATCTTCATCAGAACTCATATCAATGGCAAACATGTCCTCGTCTTCAGAAAAGTTTCTGTTGTCTTCTCGCTTCATGCTGTCTACTTGAGATTTTCTCCTCCTCTTCCTTCTCTTTTTCATTACTGAACTGTCACCAGGGGCCTGCATGGGGCCCAGGGTTTGAATAGATGTTCCGTTTCCAGACTCAGACAGACGGGACATACCTTTTCCAACTTGGGCCTGCATCAGAGCAGAGCCCTCTGAAATTATGGGCGATGTAGCCAAGTGGGACGGCACCATCTCCTGTAGAGAGAGAAATAATAGTACTAAATGTAGTAATGCTTCAGGGAGTTTTTGCATTTTAAAGGTTTTTTTTTTTCTTTCAATCGTTGTAGGAAAACATCTAGATCTATTTTAGCAAATTTTCTAAGAAAATTTTTTTTTTTAAGTAAAATATTGGAAATAATAATAATAATAATAACTATATAGTTCCATTACCAGTAAGAAATATTTATAGCCTGTAAAATGTGATAATTCACCCACTCACTCATATAACCATGAATGTAGACTGTAGCCATAGATTTAGTTTGACTGTGTCCACTTAAATTCCAGAAGCACAACACTGTGACCCTAATGCCTTGTGACAGATCACTGCATCTTTAATTACAGACAAATTCATGCATGTGCCACAGCTCTGAACTGTCTCTAAGTCATGGGTTCATAAGACATAAGTGCATGGCTGCACATTAATATAAATAATGTTCAGTTGTTTACGTCACTCAATTGCCCTTGAGAACCAGACGGCTAACACTGCCAGCTCATACATCAGTTATCACTCCCATTGAAGCAGACAGACCATTATCAAGTCTAGCTCTGCTAAACATTAATCACCACAACACAAATAGATACACTGACTATACAACAGCAGGAACCATCACAACAACTAATACAGAAAGCCAGAGTTCTTGAGCACTTTAAAATCACTTTTCATTGGAGGAGGAGAGGCTAAAGTTAATTAGTTGCACCACAAACTAATGCCATCGGTTGAGATTGGCAGAGGTTACCTTCTCAGGATACCCATTTGAGTAATACATGTCATCTGACATTTTGTGTAAGGTGTTCCAAGAAAAAAAAATCCCCTTCAACAGCTTTAATCTTTTGTACTGGCAACAAGACAATCCCAAGTTCACTGCACTGCACTGCAAAAAGCCTCTTCTGCATTACAACTGCTAAAAATGCTAAACACAGTATGTTCAGGTAATACTGTCACACATCATTACAAGGATATGAAGTATGTATGTCATACTTGTTAAAAACACACTTTCTCCACTGTCATTGATAATAAAGGCAACAAATTAAGGGAAAAAAAAAATTTCCCTTAAAAAAAAAGTATATGCATGAAAGTAATATAGCATGAAAAGTAGCTAATATTTAACATATCAAACACTTTTTTTAACAAAACATTTTTTTTTCATTTGATACATTTAGATTTTTATTTAATGATTTTATTTAATTTATTTAATTTAATTTATTTTATTTTGGTGTTTATTTATTGTTCATTGCTAATAAATCATATAAAGAGTTTAAAACATTTAATTTGAATACATTTTATGTGGATGTTTATTTAATGTTCATTGCTAATAAATAAAGGGTTTTAATCATTTATGTTCATTGCTAATAAATCAAATAAAGAGTATTAAACATTGTGGTAGTACATTGTAGTAGCTCTAGAACTATATGAATATAAAACTTTTCAAAAAATACATGCCATTACATCTGTAGAAGATCATCTCCTAAAATGCTACACCAAAGCATCCAATGTGTTAAATGTCCTTCTCTAGAAGTGCTACACTTGTATTCATAACAGAATATCATATTAACATAAATGACGCTATTCAGGAGTGTAGCATTCCTGTGAATGCAATCCAGTGATAGCTCTCTGCTTGCTACTGGCTATATTTAGTCAAATGAAGCGCAAACATCTAAACCGGTTCAGACAAATAGACAGTGATTCTCCTAGCATAAAGAATGACATAATTTAGCGAGCACATAATATTGTTGCACAGCTGTATGTAAAGAGAGCATTATTTTAGTAACACAAGGCCAGGGTTGATTGATCATAGGACAAGTGCATCTCTCTTTTGAGCCGTTGTCACAATCCTTCAAGAGCCAGAATGTTCCACATGAGTGCTAACCAGGGCAACCATTATAGCAATTACCGAACGCAATGTACCTCAGCAGATATTCATCTCAGGCATTTGTTCCTGTGATGAGCAAAAAAACATCTGTGGTCAGAAAGTAATGAGGAAGTTTAAAAGACTAAGCCAGGAGGATAACCGACATGACACGGACAGAGCTTTTCTTATCTCAGCAGTCGGACAGTGTTTCAGGGCATTTCTCCTGTGCATTACTTTGCCCTTTAAATTGGTCAGCTTTTTCTTCAAGCTTGGGAAGCATAAAGATGGGTGTTGTTTTAGACAGGACAACGGTGCCCTTGGCAGAAAGGGTCTGTTCTAGAGCAAGGTGTTCAAGCTCGGGTAGCAGAATGCATGTGGCAGGATTGTTTCCAGTAAACAAGTTCAGATTTCAAGATATTGTACTATTGAGGAGACGTGCATACGTACATACTTGCATATGTTATATTTCTTAGTACACAATGAACCTTGGCTGCAATAAAAACAATGCAACAATGTATTGTTTGGTACAGGACGCCAGTACTCACCTCATCACTTTCTGTTTCTTTGACAAAGAATGCCTCTCCATTTTCACCTAGTTTCATTTGTAAACTCACCGGCTCCCCATTTATCTCAATGTCAACCTGAGGAGAAAGGGGACATGGAATGCTGTCACTATAATAAAGACAATTTACAACAGTAAGCCATGTGCAACACAAGGCCAATGACAGTGCTAATTTTATCCCATCATGAAACAACAGTTTTTCCTATAAGTCTACAACTTCAAAGACTATATTTATGTCCATATGTCCATGGCTTTGATAAAAGTAATGTCCATATGGCAGAAATGTACAGTTCTAAGATTAAACAAATCATGAGACTTTCATTCATCTTCAGAACACAAATGAAGGTATTTTTTAATATTCTCTTATCCTTTTTGTCTCTTCATTTAAAGTGCACACAATCGAAACTTTCACACATTAAAAAGTACAAAGGACATTGTAAATGTAATCCATATGAATCGAGCAGTTTACCAAGTCTTCTGAAGAGACTGGAACACTTTATATGATGAACAGATTTAATTTAGGCTTTTATTCACGTATAAACATTGATCATCGCACATACATAGAGGACATCAAATATGGTAAACGGATGCTCAAATGTGCTTGCTTGATGCGTGATAACAACCCTAATTGATAATGATAAAATCACTAATGTGACTATCGCGGATGCGCACGTCACGATATCGATGCTGAAACGATATATCGTGCAGCCCTAGCGGAGACGCATCATATACAACATATAATCGTCACTTCCCTACAGGTACTGTTTACTAACAAGGTGACAGCGCCAACTACTGGCCTGGCATACGTAATACAGCGTTTTTGGCCGTTTTCGCGGATATGTATAAACGCGAATCGTTTTGAAAACGTTGTCGTGTAAACGTGAAACTTTTTAAAAACGCAAGGGAAAAACTTTTCCGCTTTTGACTACATTGTTGTCGTGTAAACGTAGCCTAAGTTTTGCCTCTTTGTCTCCATCTCTGTTTGAAAACCTGCAACTGCAGCTATTTGCGGAATTATCTTCCTTGCGTGGGTTGTGCACCGGCATGGCTCCAGCATGGATGAATCTAATGTGTGGCTGTCAGTCATCGCACCGGTGTGGATACTGCACTTTGTATTCACAGATTCTACATCTTGAAAGTATGACCCATATGCAGTGGGGAAAATATTTATTTGCTCCCCTGCTGATTTTGTAAGTTTGCCCACTTTCAAAGAAATGAAGGGTCTGCAATTTGTATGGTAGGTTTATTTTAACAGATAGAGACAGAATATCAACCAAAAAATCCAGAAAAGACACATTATATAAAGGTTAGAAATTTATTTGGCATCGGGGGTGAGTAAAACGCAGCCTAATTTTTTTTGGGGGGTGAACTAACCCTTTAAGATCATTAGCAAGCTCCTCCCGTGTAGTTCGGGGCTGATCCCTCACCTTTCTCATGATCATCCTTACCCCATAAGGCAAGATCTTGCACGGAGCTCCAGACCGAGGCAGATTGATGGTTTTGTATTTCTTTCATTTCCGAATAATCACACCAACAGTTGTCTCCTCACCAAGCTTCTTGCTGATGGTCTTGTAGCCCATTCCAGCCTTGTGCAGATCTACAATCTTGTGTCTGACATCCTTTGACAGCTCTTTGGTCTTGCCCATGGTGATGGGAGAGGTTGGAATGGAAGATACAGATTGTGTGGACAGGTCTTATACACCTAACGAGCTGACATTAGGAGTAACTTCTTAAAGTGACAGGACTAATCTGTGTTCCACATGGGCACATAACCAATCTGTGGGAGCCAGAATTCTTGCTGGTTGGTAGGGGATCAAATACTTATTTCACTCACTGAAATGCAAATCAATTTCTAAACTTTATATAATGTGTTTTTTCTGGATTTTTTGCTTGATATTCTGGGCAAACTTACAAAATCAGCAGGGGATCAAATAAATATTTTCCCCATTGTAAGAGTTTTCACTGGAGAATGTCATCTGAACAAGTAAGTAACAACTGCCACTTTTGTTCTGATCAACTGAGGAAAAAAGCAATAAATTACGCTATCAATGGTGATTAAATCTAACGATCGGTTAGCTCATATCACATCAAACCGTGTCAATTATTATTATTATTATATTTTGTTTTCAAATTCAATCGGCCATTTATTCCAGCTGGTGTGAGAAAAGGCTATAAACGATCCGTCACCTGCAGCATCCTCACGTGCAATATAGCATACTAGCCAAGATAAATTATTTATGTTTACAGACGCGACGTAATGACGCAGCGCCATGCTTGAATTTCCCGCGAAAACCTACCCGTACCACTCAAATTAGAAAGCTTTATTACAAGCTTACCATTGTGAATCGAGCTAAAGTAAGGCAATAGTTTTGAACACTGGCAGGTTATGTACCTCCTCAAAAATTTATTTTGGATAATTTTTAAACAAAAAAAGTTACGGACTGCAGCTTTAAATAAAGCATTAAAAACCTGAGTATTTGAGTATTTCAAAATGTCAGCGGGAAACTTGCACAGACTTATTCTACAAGTTTCTACGACTCTACCACCTGTCCTTTGGCTGCACAACATGAGAACACTTTTTTATATATTTCTTGGGTCAAGAAAAAGTCAGAGTTTGTAAAATAATCCCAATGTGAAACATTTGCTGTGACTGCATGCGCTTAAATGTGCCCTATGACGCTTTCCAGTTACATATCGCACATGAGCACTTGAGTAAGACAACAGGATGCAGGTTAAAGTGTTTGCATGCCGGGTGAAATAAGGGTAATGGATAAATATCTAGCTGTGTTGATCAGTTTATTCTCAAGCCGTTTATATCCTTATGCCGATAAAGGGAAACGGTTTACCGTGTTTACATGACCACATGCATTGCCACAAGCATAATCGGTTTAAGAATGTGCATATAAATGCACTTATTGGTTCTTGCAGAGGCTCGAATGTGCTTGTGTAACATAACACATGACAACCAACCTCAAAAGTAAATAATGAAAGAATATTGGGGGGGGGGGTTGTGAAATAACCCTTTAACACACACAAGTTGAATCAGCGAAATGGTAAGCTGCAAAAATATGAATAATCTCATATGCTTCCACCATAAAACATGTCTGAGCTAGTGCTTACCACTTTCTCCCGGGAGCGCAGCACTCCCATCTTGCCGAAACGGACGTGAAAAGGTGAACACTGCAGAGTTCCGTCGGGCTGACGCACCACAATAACATCGATACAGCCAGACAGGGTGGCAGGATTAAGGCCTCTGTACAGCTCCTTCACCTGCACAAAAACCTGACCGGCTAGCTGACCCACGTAATTCATGGTCTGACTCTGAAATAGAGAGATGTCAAGCTTTTAAAGGCTAACATGAAACTACTCAAGTCAACTCCTTAAAATTTTGAGTTTGAAAATTTTAAAAACACTCTATTTTGTTTTATTATGTTCCAATAATGTTCTCTGTTGCTCTTTTACATGTAACAAACTATTTTCTATTAATAAAGTATTTAATCATTTTATCATTAAATCAAGCAATATAATTCTCTGTGCACTTCAGCACTAAAATTAATAGCTGTTTGTGTGAAAGTGCACAGTCAAGTATGTAAAGGCAACTGTGATGTTGATGAGCCATCTGTGTGTGTGTTTAGTGAGTATGATAACATTAAACATCTCTACAATAAACAGTATACGATTGTGTGAAATTTTGCAGCTGCAGCCCTAATTGAGAAGAAAAAACCTGTAGCGTGAACTAGGTCTAATAAAAACATGCTGCCTTGCTCAACTCGAGCCAAGATCTCTTTGACTATTTAGGTGAAAGGTAAAATATCATAGAAACAAAGATACTGCAAGCGGTAGATACAATGACATTGCTCAAAAAAGTATTACAAGTGGTGTTCCTTAAGCATCGCCAAGGGTTTAATAATGCCTGATTCTGGCATGCTCTACCAACCCAGAAAACGACTGCCTCTCTGTAGTGCACAACACGTAATGTTTAAAGTAATTAGCTAATTGCAAGTTATTGCAGTAATTGTCTGCAATAAAAAAATTAATAAAATCCTGTGTACACTATCACAATACGCAAGCTAGGGCTTGCGTAATTCTGATAAGGCAGAGCAAGTTCGCATTAATGGGAAGGAAAGAAAGAAAAATAATTTTGTATGCATGCAGAGTTCCCACGCTTTTTGAACAATTTATTTAATGACTTGCCCATGACCTTTCCAGCGGTTCATGATTACTAAAAGATTTATTTAGAATTAATTTTACAGAGATTGCTGGGCAGATTTTCATTTGTTTGTCAGGTGGCCATTTTCTGAATTAACAGATTTAAATATTTATATTTAGTTCTGTACAAATGACCCTCAGCGGACAGACTGAAGGTCATGCATTTCAAGCCAAATAAATATTTTAGGGAAATACAGAACTAGACATTCACTACAGACTTTGCCTGGGAATCACAGTTTTAAAATTCCCTAATCTTTTTAGGTTTTCCATGACTGTGGAAACTCTGGCTTTTAGAAAAACCTGACAATCTAATTAACCCAAATAATTTGCCCCGTAGATGTAACCCTGAGATTGTGTAAAAACCTTCAAGCAAGTCTTCATTGTTCATACACAACAGACTGATCCTTCACATTTAGACAGATGCACACAGTCACATGGAACTGACATGGCTCCAATAGTTCTGCTATTAGATATTGGTGCCAATAATAGTGCAAGCATCCAAATGTACAGTGTTTGCAGTGTATGCAAATGTATAATGCTTAATTTGACACTAGAGCTGCAGGAGAACTACTGCATAATAGCCTATAATCACAAACACTTTAAGACTCATCTGAACTAATTACAACAGAATATCATCCAGACAAGGAGGTCACTGCTAAGGTCATTAAAAATGAATAATGCATACACACACACACACACACACACACACTGCAATCAGTACTGAATCATGGATGATAGATAAAATAGAGAAATGACATAGAAGTATTCTGCTGTATGTCAAAAAAAATGTTTAGTTAATCGAAATTAAATCCACGTCTAGAACATAAAATGTATATAATCGTATAATTGCACGATTGATACAGAAACCGAATGTCACGGATCATTACAGTCACAGACCCAATGAATGTAAACAATCATCCGCTGTGCTGTAAAAACAAGCCCCCTTCACAGTGCATATGAATATGTTAACCCAAACAAGTGTATGCATTTACATTTGCTAATGACTATAAACAGGATGGAAATAAGGGGCCAGAGAGGGATGAAATTCCCTGTAATACATACGTGGGATGCGGCAGAGGCGTTAGGATGTCACAGCCATTCAAAAGTACTTAGTGGATCCTCGGACGCTGCTGAATCCGGTTGATGTTCGCTGCTCTTCGCTCATGTATTTTGTCTCCAGCGTTTAACACACTGTCTGTTCACTGACTGTCTGTGCTGGTGTTGTATTTAAAGCAGTGTGGAAACGGTTTGCGGTGAGTAGCAGCCCCTGCCTCTGCAGCTGACATCACAGTTAACCCTTTGCGCCCATCTACATTGTTAGCTGCGCGACGCGACAAACAGCTATACAGTCAATGAAGCTGCCTACTGTATCAATTAGTATGCGCGCGACGCGTCTTTCACGTTTGTGGTTGGAGTCATGACGTCTCACACAGTGGACCAATCAAACACTTTGTTGATGCGACGCAACGCGACAAGAACGCTGCAAACAAGCGTCAGCGGCATTACTTGTACAGTACAAGGCATTGTAGGTATTTGAATCATTTTTAACATTCCGTTTTCAAGTTTTTTAACGCAATTAGCGTTTATTCGAGACTGTGTTTGTCCACTGTGTTATTATGACGGTGAACAGCTCTTTGTGGTTGCGTTTTAAAATAACAGATCAGTCAATGCATCGACTGAAATCCACAATTATCTGCCTAATTTATATTTAATTCTAATTGCTTTGCTGAATATGGCATTGCGGTGGTGAAATAATGCTGACAATGCATTACATTTAATGCACGCGTTTAATGGATTTAACACACACACACACAATCTGCTCACGTGGCAGGGAAGCAGCAGCTGCAGCAGCTGAACTGGCATTCGAATGTTTACAGTAGCATGAGTTGTGTGTCTGTGGCTGTAAGTCGTCATAGAAAAGATATGTGGGTGATTGAGTGGTGGTTTACTGATTATTATTCCACCACCATTGCATGCTCTCAATATTGAAAGTTTTTTCATGTCTCATACAGCTTAGTATGTTCATAATTGCAGATGGGGAAAAAGAAAAACTGCACAGATGTACATCAGGGTACACCAAGTGTATCAGATGGTAACGTATATAAATATTGTTAAGAAATAGTGTGGATGTTAGATGCCACTAAAAGCATACATTCTTCTCATTCTGACATAGCAGTTATTGTAGTGTAATGTACTGTGGTAACCCGGGTGTCCTTTGAGAGGAATTTCAGACCTTATGTTTGTTTGAGTGGTTCAATGGAAAATGTGTGTGTGTGTGTGTGTGTGTGTTTAATTCAGGAACTGCTGCCTTTCTCTGAAAAGGGTGACTAAAGACGACAGGTAACACTTTTGTATAGGGACCAATTCTCACTATTAACTAGTTGCTTATTAGCATGCCTATTATTAATATATTGGCTGTTTATTAGTACTTATAAAGCACATATTCTGCATGACCATATTCTACATCCCTAATCCTACCCAATATTAAACTTAGCAACTACCTTACTAACTATAAATAAGCAGCAAACTAAGAGTTTAGTGAAACAAAAGTCGTAGTTAATGGTTTGTTAATAGCGAGAACTGGACCTTAAAATAAAGTGTGTTTCTGTGAAGTGCTATTCGGGCAATTAACAACCTAAGAGAATTTGCCCATGTTAAAGCAAGGACTGCCCAGCTATCCGATTACACAGCATACTGTCAGCATACACTCTATGACCTGTTGATTTCTCCACAGGACACACCAGAACACTAGAGTACATTCCAGATACACTGGCGGGGTTTCTAGGAATTGGAGAATGATTTAGATGGTCTGGGGTCTGAGGAGACTCAGGAGACTACCAATGCTTTGTGTGATTACAATATCCAAGTTAAAATAACTATATATGAAAAAAATTTATTGACATGGTGGTCAAGATACTAATAAACACTGATGTATTTATATTAACATTTCATAATGTATCGTGATTAGTTTCGCTGTCTCTTGTCAGTCATTATATAATAACACTTTGTACATAAATAGATAAAATATTCACTATATTTAGCTGTAATTATTACCTTATCTACCCTAAAGCCTGCCTATATGGTTCTGTACAGTGCAGTCTATAAGCTTATAGCACGTGACTGATTGTGAAAATACATTCCCAAGAAAACCAGTGAATGCCTTTACGTGGAGGAAGGGGGAGTCGCCTGGGATGGGCCGTTTCCACCAATCAGAGCCAGAGTGGTCTGTGACTCAAGGCATGTGGGGTCATGTGTTGACTAAACTGCTGACCTTACTATTGTATGAGGGAAGACTGACACTGAGACTCTTCAGTGAAGTGGGGCCTGTTTTTCATTGTATTCCTGACGTCTCAGGGCAGTACATCATGTACCATAGGCATGTAAAACAAGTTCCTGTTCAGTTAGTATGATGTAAACAATGGTGAACGTATGCTTGAGGACAATGTGCAGCAGATTGTGCGTGAACATGCAAAAACACTTTAATAATAAGCAATTACGACTGTCACCTGATATCAAAATGGTATTATGATTAATCAAATTAATTATATGTATCAATATTTGCTTAAAAAGCACCCAAATTAAGATGATTTGAAAGACTACAAAATCAATGAACAGACAGCATGATTGCAGACTCAAAAACTCAAAAGTGCTCATTCAAACCTGAATTGCTTAGGTGGTAGTAAATATAATTACTAAATGTCTATTAAAAAAAACTTTATAATAAAAATATAAAAAAGTAATTTTTTATCACATATTTTTAATAATTAAACACACTAAATGAACACTATAAATTAACAGCCCTAATTAAATTAAATAATACTATTTCAGGGGTTCTCAGCCTTTTTGACTTCAAGGCCCCACAACAATATTCAAAGGCTCCCCTGCCCAGTTTTTTTTTAGGGGGGGGGGTATATATATATATATATATATATATATAGGCTTTCCTGGATATATGAGGAAGAAAACGTTTGTTGAGGGAATGAATTGACATTTTTAGTTTTTAGCCTATTTTTAATATTTATTATTATTATTATTATTGTTTTGGTTGAGAACCTTAAGAACCTAGCCAGAACACACTGAAGGAACATGAGTGGAAATAGACAATATTTGTACCATCTTGTCTCTTCTAAACCTCTTACACCACACAAGTGGAGTGCAAAAGTGGAACAAAGAACAGGCTTGGCTGGAAGATCATGCTGATGTCTGTTTATAGTCAATCAAGCTAAAGACCCTGTTCTCAAAAAACAGCAGAACTGTTTCCTTCGTCTCAGCACAAGCAGACTCTTGCTCTGCTGCACTGGTAGCTTTACATCAGTTATTTCAGCCTTGATGTAGCACTGGCCATATTTAACTGCAAAAGGGGGTTCGATTACATCAATCATTACAAACCTGCATCTGTTGTGTTGCATCTTTAAACTCAGTTGAACATAGCAACCATAACAACCTAGCATAAATAAGGCTACAGGTAAGCAACATTAATATTTTCTTCAGAAAAAAAAAATTGTGTTTTATTTTTATTTGTGTTTAATTGCACTTTACTTCACAGAAGAAACAGTAATAAGGGCTCTTAAAAAATGAATCATGAATCCTTACCATTAGTGGGTTCTTTTATGACCGCAGCTGTGATTATGCAACAACATACAGCGCCTGACCTTCACTGATATCTGGAGATATTGAATGACTTTTAATTAAACATCTTATGTTACCTCTTATTAAAAATACTCTGGTTTAATGATAACATTGTACAAACATCCAGACACTTTGAAGGATGAATTTGCTCAAAGGTTGAACGCAAACCTGGTCAGTCTACCCTGGTCAAATACCCGTGTAACCTGACACAGTGACGCACTCAATGCTCTTTTGGTTCTAGGTCACATAACAGGCTCTAGAAGCAGCTCATGGTGTCCCTGCCTATGACTGTCCCCTAGTTGAGCCAAACGGACATTTGATATGCAGGTGCCAAAAATTCATATTTCACAGACTAATTAATAAACATCATAATATAATAACTATTCAAATCATATGTTAAATTATGCATTAGAACATTTATCTCAAATCCATGCATATTATATGCACTTTTGTTGTATCATGCTAATAATTCATCCCTGAAATGAGAAACTTATTTGAAAATAACCATTTCAGAACAATCATTCCGGCCACAATCAGCACAAAATTAATCGAGAGTAAACAATGAAGCTAAACTAAAGCTATTCGAAAAGCTATTAAAAACTACAGTTAAAGCTTTAAACACAATAAACCCATTAAATTATGTTTTTATGATATCTGGCCCGGACAGACATTTTTCAGTATTTTATTCCATCATACTGAATATTAAACTGACAAATCACAGTGTGTTACCCATGTCCAGCTCGTCTCATTTGGGCTGAATCTCTCAATGCATCCTTCCACTTGATCCTCTGCTATCATGATTCCATTATCCACTCCAGTATATGAAATAAGCCTTTACTACAAAGCTGAGACTAGTCTTTATGCAATGCTTGTGCTAACAACTGAGCAGTAGCATCCACAAAGATGCACACATGATCAATAGACTAATCCCATACATGTGCACAACCAATTCATCAACTAATGAGAAATTTCGAAAAATTGTAGACCTTTGAAATGAATGTTTTTTGTTTGTTTTGCAAATTTTCTGTGGCATTCCAAGAACCCATGATATTTAAAAAAGCACTTGACTGTGGGTTCCAGACAGACTGTCAGTCTGTGCATTTTTGACCCTTTCGTCATTATGTCAGTAGGTAGCGACAAACGACTTTCTTTATGAACGAGTCATTGAATCATTCATTAAAACAATTTGTTCTAAACACTAATTAATTCACAATGCACCAATGCACCCATTCCGTGTTGCTCTGAGATGCGTAGCAGTTGATTCTACTTTGACTTGGGTTGGCAGTAATGGAAGTATTGGTTTGGAAGTAAGTGGCAATATATTATTTAAAACCTAAGTTAGTATAACTTCTCGTTTATTGAACTGTTGTATGAAACATTACCATACTTGCAATCATGCTGTTGATCTGAATATCAGAACTGTGATTTCTTACTACCTCGTGCCTATGGTAGATTTATATTTGACTAACATTTGATGAAACAAAAACTTTATTAGGGACAAAATTGTTGTAGTTTGTGTAAGTAATTTAATAAGTAATATTGAATTGAATATGGAAACAAACAAACAACCACAACAAAACTTCTGTTACTTAGAAATCCTCACTTTTAATAAAATGCTTGTAATTGAATCTTATCATGTTTACTGCAGCTGGATAAAATAACTAATGTTAAAGTTATTAAAAAGACATTAACGTACAGTTAGGCTGCAACAACTGTGAGTCGTTTGTGAGGGGGTCGTTTGTGAGGTTGCTGTGACTCTGTGAGACTGACCCTTACCCCACCAGCGACGGCCAGAATGTACACTTGCAACACGAGTCACCGTTTCCACATGCTTCAGAGAAGATGACATAAACATTCATACCAGATGACAGCGGCTGTGTGTGTTGTTAGTCAATTGTTTATCTAGAGATAGTGATTAAATTGTGTAACATTTGAATGGCTGAAGATGAAAAGTGGCCTGCACAACTATGCAATGTTCCATGGTAAATCCCATATACCACAATACAAGCATGATGGGTAATATTTCAGTTAAGCTCAGCTCAAAGGTTGAGTTTACCGTGGATTCATTTCCAAATGATTTGTGATTGAAAGATATGTTGATGTGGATTGGAATATAATTTAAATATAAAGTATCATGTGTGAATTTAACTGAAAGCTGCAGTCATGTTTGTGGACGGTCATAACCTCAGGATCCACAGAAACATGACACATGCTGTGGTAGCTGTAAACATTTCGAGTGACACATTGATCCCTTATTAACAGAATGATTAATGGTACATGCTGTTAACTTGTTTCATAACGTGCCTTAAGGACATGCCTCGCAGGTAATTAATGCACCCATCCTGCTCTACAGAGTATGATGCCATGAAGATGCGTTGTCATAGAAACTGAATTTATCAAAATATTACTATTAATAAATTCAGTTTGTGTAGGCATGAACAACTGACATTTGTGAACTGCAATGTCAATATACAATCATTATTTGAGCTAGGACCTCTTGCATTATTTGGGAAACACTTGGAACAACCTCATACAATACAGCAAATATGAGGTTTAGTGCCCTCTGCTGGACATATTTAATACACAAGGCAGTTCATACAATCTGTAACTTATGATCATAAATATTATAAAGAACACCTTTGATTTCTGAGCCAGTTAAATCATAACCTTCAGCTCTAATAAAATCGTAAATTGTTTCTTTTTAGTATCTCTACCACATCACTTTTTAACTTGTAAAAAATACATTTTCTATAATTACTGTGTAATTTAGCTAATAGTCATTACTGTCTACAAGAAAACAACCAGTAGTAATGGAAAATTGCTGATTGAGATTAGCATAAATGAATCATAACAGTTAAGTGGCAGGTATTGAAAGCTTTGTCTCTTTATAGCACTGATACTAACTCATTTTCAAATATGTCTTTATGGGCTGAGACCAAGAGGTTTTCTTTAATAAAATGCGTGGCCGATACACGAGATTTATACTTTGCTTTCAGGAGGTAAAAATGTGATTGTTCTGCCCTCTTGTGTTCATACAGAGGTACAGCGGTAAAAGCATTATGAATAGCGAGCGGAGGCTGTAGAGACTTGAAATGTATGACATAAGTACTTTAATGCCGTTATGCCCTCATCCACACTCCTCACAGAACACGCCAAACACAGCTACAAAAATACTCTTTTCTACAAAATACTTCAATCTGTT